CCCCCCGCCACACTGCCCACGTGGGGCACAGCGAGCCGCACCATGCCAGCTGCACAGCCGAGCCCACGCCTGCGTGTGCACCAACCGGGCCCTGCCAGGGGAGGATGGGCCAGTTCCCGACCACGGGACAGGCAGGGGAAAGTGGTGTGGCCACAGCAGAGCGGGATGCTCCAGCTGGCAGCAGCCCCATGCAGCCCAGGGGATGGCTCCGAGGGGACCCGAGCTGCCCCTTGCACATCCCCAGGCTCTCTCTGTCCTCCCCAAACACCAGCCCCAGCCAAGCCCAGCCCTGTGGCACAGCAAGCTCAGAGGCCTCACCTGAGAGCGTCAGTGGCCTGGAGAGCTTCATGAGCGCAATATCATAGTCATCATGATCATCGCTGTAGTTGGAGTTGATGATGACCTGGGAGACAGGGATGCCCTCCGCACGCTGCTTCAGGTCCGAGACCCCGCCGTACACCTTCCAGTCATCAAGGATCTTCATGCTGTTCCTGGGCACGGAGAGGTGGGGGCAGCAAGGAGTGAGACGCAGGGTGTGGGGCTGGACTGAGCGCCTGCACAAGGGCTGCCAGCTGCAGCCAGTGCCCCCCGGCTGCACAGCAGCGCTGCGGGCAGCTGCCTGCAGCAGCACTCACATGAAGAAGCAGTGGGCTGCAGTGAGGACCCACTGCGCGTCGATGATGGTGCCGCCGCAGATGTGGATCGGCCCGTACTGCACACTGACTTGCCAGGGCCATTTGCTCACGGAGGTTTCCTTTCCTCCAATGATCCGGCCAGAAATCCTCTGCCCACAGGCTGGAGGGGAGAGCAGGGCTGAGTGAAGGGATGAGAGAGGAGGCAAGCCCAGAGGGGGATGCGCAAAACATCCCCACCACCCGCAGGCACCAGCGGTGCTCAGTACATTCGTAGGGGCCGGTGGAGACCATGGGAATACAACCATCATAGTTTTCTATTACCCAGAAAGTTTGCTGGAAAACGGTCTATTTGCCCAACCCTGTGCAAAGAAAGGAGGAAAGCGCTCCCAAGCACGTGTTTGGCCTCGCCCCCCCCTTGGGCGCATGCCCTGCCAGCCAGCCCCCTTACTTGTGCATCGGAGGGAGACGTACTTTCCCGTGAGACATTGTGAGCTGCAGGAGAGAAGTGGGAGAGGCAGCCTCAGCCCCCGGCCCGTGGGACCAGACACGGACCAGGGACCTGTGGCACCAGCCAGGGCCAGGAGGCAACGCTGCCTGGTACCTGTTGAGGCTCTGCTGGATGGTCTCTCTCTCGTCAGTCACGGTGAGGCTCTTGCCGGAGATGTGCAGGGGGATGTATTCAGTCTGTGATGCACTGGGAGGGGAGAGGAGAGAGGCAGTGAGGGTCTCCCCTCTCTGGGCACTGAGCAGCCAGTCCCTGCCTTCTCAAAGAGGGTCTGCACACCAAACCTGGGAGGGGGGAAGGACCGAAACACCCAGAGCAGCACTGGACAAACAACCTTGCTACAGAAAAGCATAATGCTGGGGGGAAAAAAGCACAGCAGACTGTGCACCTGGCCAGGGCAGGAGGGCCAGAGCAATACCCAGGGGGCTGGCAGGGCCCCAGCGCCCGAGCAGAACCACCCATCCGTGGGGAATTACTTCTGAAATCCCAGCTGCCGGCAGGTCTTTCTGGAGAAGGAGTCGTCCCAGGCGCTGCTGCATACTGGCAGCCACTGGCTCTCAGCGCTGGAGTAGATGTGGAGCAAAGACTCATCGAATGCAAAGCGCACTGCGGGGATGGAGTAGGCAGGTCAGTGGTACCCAGTGCCCTGGGGGCTCCCCTTGCCCCCACCGCCCCCGGCTCCTGGTGCCTCACCACAACCCAGCTCGTCGCTCCGCTGGGAGCAGTCGATGATGCCGTCGCAGCGCACAGGGCTGTCCTTGCAGCTTTCGGCAGGCTCCTTGTACACAATGCCGGTCTGCGACCGCCAGAACATAACTGAAAGCAAGTGCACGCCGCGGTGAGGCCAG